CTTTGAGGGTCAAGAACAACATGTGAGTCTTGTTTAGATTCATATCTCATTGCCTGGCATACAGTTGATGGTCAATAAATGTCTATGGAATAAATAAATTGAATAAATTGGAACGGTTGGGATCCCCTTAATTCCTGGATCTTTAGGACACCAGAACAGCCTCCTGTTTGATAAAATTTCCTTCGCCAGATACAGATCATCTTTTTGACTTAAGAAATGCTTGATTTGAATATGTAAAAATAACACTTATTATAAACATTTATGTGAATAGCTTTCAACTTTTGCCTGCTGTATTAGTTTTCTATGCTGCATAACAAACTACTACAAACTCAGCATCTTAAAACAACACACATGTACTATCTCACAGTTTCTATGGGTTAGGATTCTGAGCACAGCTTGACTGAATTCTCTGCTTTGGGTCTCACAAGGCTGCAGTCAAGTTGTTGGCTGGGGATGCTGTCTCATTTGAGGTTTGACTGGGGCAGGATCTGCTTTTGCTGGCATAATTCAGCTTCTTGAGGTTGTGAGACTGAAGGGTTCAGTTTTGTGCTAGCTGTTGACAAGAGGCCACCTTCTGTTCCTTGACACATCGACCTTAACACATACACATCTCCGTATAGTAGCTTGCTTCAACAAAGCCAGCAAGAGAGAGAGAAAAAGTCTTCTCACAAGACAAGCATTAAAATCTCATGTAACACAGAGGCTACAACATGTGAAAGGTGATTTTTCAAAGCCACAATGGAGAGACACTAGCAAGATAGGACTATAACCTTATGTAACATAGTCACACACATCCCTTCACACTTATGGGGAAGAAATCACATGAAGAACACTGGGAAGTCAGAGGTCACAGAGTTCACATTAGGGGTCTATCTACCATGCCTGCTTACAGCAACAAAATGATGCTCATACACTGAAATATGAGCTAGATTAGCTTTCTTTCTAGTTTCATTTGACTCTGACGGTAAATTCTACTCCTTATTTGTTGACCATGGAAAATGATCAATGCCTATAATTCTAAAGAAAAATCAGAAAGGACAATTTTCAGAAAACTCCAGCTATTTCAGAAAGTCTAGTCATTTAATTTTTGCCTTTTCAGTAGGCATTGCCAACTTCCCTTGAGGAGACAGACACACATTTGCCTAAGCCATCATTTAACACAATTAATACTGTATCTTTATCCAAATACTAGGCAAGGGGCTGGGAATTCTTGGCCATACAAGCCCACAAAATAAATATTTTTTTAAAAAACTCATGTTGGTACTCTCTCACCTATCTGGTTTTAGTATGTGTCAGACTTGGAGCCAAGGAATACATTTTGTAACTGAGGAGGATTTTTTCAAACGAGAGTCAGCAAACGAAAGCCCTTGTTTCTGCTGAGTTGTGTCAGAGTAAACAAAAGCAGAGTATGCTCAAACTCCTCAGGACGGTGTTCTGAAGCTAGTCTGGGCCATTCCAAAGCTGTGGTCCCAACACCTGACTTCCTTATCCTAGGTAAGTGTCCAGGAGCAGGACACACCTAACTGCTGCTCACTTCTGCATTGGCCTTTCCTTCTCTGAAGCCAGGCTCCCTGTGAAAGAGGTAATACAAGATCATTGACCAGCCAAGGACCATTTGACAGGATTTCCCGGAGTAATGAGAAGCTAGACACCCTCCACTTCAATTTACATTGTTTAACCTTTACACAGAGTAGTACTTAGGTCATTTCAAACTCTCTTGCTGTACTATAGTTATTCATTAAGATGAAATAAAATAAGCAATCACATTAAGACATTTCTGCTAACATCTCAATTTTAAAATGATAGGCATAAAACTATGGTATTAGAAGTCTAACTAGTGGTCGTGAATTAAGTGTTAAGCACCCTTCCAATAACTAGTAGGTGGGAGAGGCCTTTTAGGGTGCTGGTCACATTCTGCTTCTTGATCTAGATGCAAGTTACATGGCTGTGTTCCATTTGTGAAAGATATTTAAATTGTTCTCTTAGAGTATGCTCATTTTTCTGAATATATATTATCCTTCAGTAATACTTTTGAAATGAAGATATAATGTTGCTTAGTTTTGTTGCTATGAAGTGAGTTTTTCCTGTTTTCTAGCTTGGAAATTTAGTTACAACTTGATTTAAGTTCATATTTCATCCCAAACTCATTTTACTAAGTGGATTGCAATGTAGACTAAACTGTTTCCTTTTGAAACTTATATTGAATTAATTACTTTGCATTTTGTTCAATGAAGTAGATGCTATTCAGCTACAAAGATTTCAACACATGCAGATAAGCTGTCCCCAACTCTTTGAGTTCATAATTAATTTCTTTTAATTTTCTAAGGTCCTTTATGCTAATAATGAAAAATAAAAATCGAGAGGACTGAACCTGGTAAAAGTAGGACCAAGACCTTAGAAAGAGGAAACCTTTTAAAAGAATAAGATCATTCTTCCTCTTAGGCAGTGGGAAAAGAGGAAAAGGACACTCACAAATGATGGTCTTGGTTTTTCTAGGGAATAATGAATCTAGGTTCTGCACTGAGAATAAATGTTGGGATGGGGCTGCTAGTTCAAGGAAAGGGGAATTAGTACTGACAAAGTAAATATGGCTGAAGGTCAAAGGAATTAAGTTACTAGGGATAGTGCAGCTAAAATGGTTGACAAAAGGGTTTAGGCAGATAAGAGAAGGTAGGAAATAACTGATGAACTATGAGAACAAAGACTGGAGGTCACTCTGATAACAAACTACAGATTCAGTGGGAGTGAGAGAGGTGGAAGAGTAGGTGGCTGTGGGTAGAGAAGGAAACTCACAATCCAAAGTTTTGCAGGTGGAGTAATTTCATCTGATGATTGGCTTCAACGTGTGGCTACATCTGTGTGTTCCTGATAGAGTAAAGTTGATGACTGAAAAAGAGGGATGAAAAATTGTGAGGTCAGCGTGCTAACTGAGTCATTATTATGAATGCTGAAATCGTTAGGCTGATGCAGGACATGGGGATAGTTCCAAGGCTGACACAGTTTCAGAAACACAGTTGGGCAGGGCTATCCCAGGCAGGGCCAGATTTATGCAAATAACAAGGCAGGCAAAGCTTGTCTTTGACAGTTATCACCTTTGTTATGTAGCATTTTCCCTAGCTTTGTTCATTTACTCTCAAATAACCTCAGTGTCTTCATGTTGCCCCCTCACTGTACAGGCTCCCCACCCTCTGCTTCTGACATATTTAAAAATCCCAAGCAGTCACAAAGTACAAATGGAAAGTTCTCAATTAATAGTCACTTTCCCCTCCTTATCTTCGCATTGTGACAGGGCTTTCTAATTATAAACTCTTATCCTGAAAGTGGTTGTTTCAGGATTAGTACCCTACAAAGGTATCTGCAAAGCCCTGTAATTCCAGCCAAAGGGAGAATGGCTCTTACTGTTCTGAAAAATCTTTCTCCAATATTGATTCATTCTTTTAGCCTAGGATTTTAACCAACCCCACAAAATGTGAGTTTCTTAGCAGTTAGGGCTGGGCTTAGCCAATAAAAAGATATCCACAAAAGAACTCAGTCTTTAGCTTTCCTGAAGTGTATAAGGCAGGCTAGTGTGCTGCGAGATACTGATCTCTTCTATCTACTCTCTATGCCAAAGAAGTATCATCATTTTCAGTATACTCTGTAATACAAAAAGGATGGGAAAGCATTGACGTAGGAGACACTCACTAGTGATAGCTGTTGGCATTTACTGGGCACCTATTATGTGCTAAGAACTTAATGTATTTAACTCATTTAACCCTTGCAGCACTCTTGTTAAGTTGGTACCATTATTCTCATTTGGTTGATGAAGAAACTGAGAAGACCTGTCTAAGGTCACAGACATGGGAAGTGGCAGCACCAGGATTCAAACAGAAGCAATTTGGAACCAGAAGCTACACTTAACCACTAAGTCGCCCCTAAATAAGTGTTTGCTACCTCTAAATAGAAATTTTAATCTAACAATATTTTAAAAACAAACTCATATAAAATTAACACCCTCGTAAATGGCACAGCTAGAATACAATGCAGTCAACACTCTGCAGGTTAGATACAGGATGACAGGGAGCAGGGAGCAGCAAGAGCTGAACACAACGGAGCTTTGTCTCTCTTACAGCACCATCCCCAAGCTTGCCTGTGACTCCTTTAGCAGCAGACACATAGCAGGCCCACTTTTCTGTCTTTTAAAAATTATCCCATCAACTAAGAGATCATAATTTGGTCTGTGTTTTACTTAAATCCCCAATATAATGAAGAACCTTATAATTATTAATTTATGGGTATTATTTGTTTAAGTACATTAAGCCATTATTGCATCTCTTCCACAAAAGGGTCTGGCTTTGGGTGTGTTTCTTTACATACACACACACACACACACACACACACACACCCCTTATCTTTTAAGCATCTCATCTTGCTTTGGGGAAAAAAAATAGATCAAACTGAGCCTGAAGGTCCATTTTCCAGTCTAGGGGTGGGGAAGAGGGTGTTTGTACTGAAATTGGTTTTTACTCGGTATTTTTATCACAGATTGGGAGGTACATACCGCAAGAAAAACTAGTTTCTTGGCGTGTCATCAATTCTGGGGTTCACTGATCACTCAAAACTCATTTCCCTCCCTGGTCCCCAAGGACGCCCAGCGGTCCCTCGGGGAAGGCCTTGAAGGGAGGCCGAAAGGGCCGCGGCAACAACAGAGGGCGACAGGCGCTGGCAGCACCCGGGCTTCCGTTCACGACCCCGTTATTCCACGGAAGAATGGAACATTCCGCTCCTTCCGCCCGCAGTGGGGAGGTGGGGGGAACCCTTCGATCTCGTCTGGGAGAGGCGACGCGGGCGCAGCCACCGGAATCCGGGACGCCGGGAACCGCGTTACGGGAATCGCAGCCGCTCGGAGTGCCGCCCCCTCGTTTTCGGGCGGCCGCTGAGCCAATGCCGGGGCGCGCCGGGTCTCGCGGGGACCAATCAGCGTAAGGATCCCAAGTCCGAGGGGCGGGGCGTGACGGGGCGCCGCGGGGCGGAGTCAGGGGGCGCATCGCCTGCGGGAGGAGGGCAGCGTGCAGCGTCTGCTGGGAGAGCCGGGAGGCAGCCGGGACCCGGGACGAGGCACCGGACAGGCCGCGGAG